ATCAGTGAGGAAATTGGGTTCCTGTCATCTACAGCAGAAAGCCAAGATTCATTTTTAAAGTTCATAAAATTGTTTTTCCTTTCACCCCAGATGTTTTATCCTTTAAAACAGGTTCTTAAACTACAGTCATGGATAGGCTTGAAGAGGGATTTTTGTCAGATTCTCAAAGAGTCTTATGACTAAAAAAAGTTAAGCATGACTGCTTTCTAAAGAGTATTAAGAAGTTGCTCTTTGAAAGGTCTTGATATTGTGATATGCCATAAAACATTTAAAGGAGGTTCTAGCTGTAAAATTACAACATTATAAGTCACACTAGTAAGTGAACTTCTTGCTTAGCCATTTGCTACTGATAATAAAGTATCCAAGCTTTTGAAACACTAACATTTCCTTAAATTAAAGGGGAGTCCATGTTATTGCAGATGTAACCATTGTGATTTGCTTGTCATTATGTTTTCTTGGATTCCAAAGTCTGGAGTAGAATTACTGGCCTTGCATTTGGAATTACTGGCCTTGCATCTGCAATCACATGGAAATGCTTTATATGTGTAGAGATATCTGTTATTTGTATATTTCTAACTACTAATTTTGAAAAATGGCTGTGCCGTGAAAAAATTTTAACCCTTAAGTTTGAATTCTGAGCTCTAGGACAACAGACTGGAGTTTGCATCTTGCACAATGGTTAGGTCCTAAGGTCAGCACGTACGGCGAAAATTATTAAGTCGTCAGCATTTTCCTTGAAAATCCGTTAGGAGGGCTCCATGATGAAGGCAGACAGATTCTGAACCCAACAGAATGCCAGCCCAATGCCACTGGATTTTTCTCTCTTCAGCACCAAATGAAGTCATTGGCATATGTTCAGGAGCCATAATCTTATTTTATTTTTTAAAATTATGTCAGCTGTAAACCAGAACCTCACCCGAGTAGTGAGTTGCACATACTGAGAGAGACATACAGGAACTGTCTAGGGATAGCAGGTTTTTGCTGTCACACTCCAAGGAATAGGCTCATGAGTGGAATCACCCAGACTAATCAATCCATCTCTCCTTTTTGCTCTTCAATGGCCAAATATAGAACTTAGATTAACTCCTGTCTGTGTAATGCCACTCCACTGTATCTTGGGCCCAATAAAAGGGGATTTGAAAGGTGAGAGCGTTAGTTAGAAAACTTAGAGCATTTTAGGAAGTGAACTATTAATAAGTAAATGAGATACAGCATCCCAAACTCACTTCTGTGACATCTCTAAACAAGCTAGCTTCACCAGAAGAATACTAAAAATAGGACCTTGCCTATTAAATGAAATGTTAAAGCCCTTGCTGCTATTTCCTTTGTCTGATGCAGGTCAAATTATTTCATCCTATCCTTCACTGGAATTTCTGGGTTTTTTTTAAAGCCTGTATCTGTTTTTTGTATGCGATAATTTCTATTTTGAAAAACACATAGAGGGGGGGAAAAAGAACTCAATGTTTCCTATTGTGGCATAACAAATTACCACAAATTTAGCAGTTTAAAGCAACATCCACTTATTATTCCACAATTCTGTACATCAGAAGTCCAGATAGAGCTCAGCCAGGTTCTCTGCTCAGTCACTCACAAGACTGAACCAGGATGTCGGCCAGAGCTGGGCTCTCATCTGAGGCTGAAGGTCCTCCAGGTTGTTGGCAGCATTCAATTCCTTGCAGTTGTAGATGAAAGGAAAGGAGCGACACACAGCAGCAATTCACCGGAGAATTCCGCTTTATTAGGGAAAGGTGCTGGGTTATATAGGAAGGGGCATGAGCTGATTGAGGTGTCACTTCTACGGGGCTGGTGGCTATTGGCTAGGTGCTGGGATTAGGGGGGGGCGAGGGGTGAGTTCGCCATCTTATGGGTGGGGGCCCTTCAGTAGAACTTCACGTTCAAGGTCTGCAAGAGAGTGTCTGCTGTTGGATCTTGTCTCTTTTAAGGACTCACCTTCTACAGTCAGGCCCACTCAGGAAAATCTCCCTTCTGATTAACTCAGATTTAACTCACCAGGTACCTTAATTACATCCACAAAGTCCCTTTGGCCGTGTAACAATGTAATCACGGGAGTGATATCCCACAATATTCACCAGTGCTCACACTCAAAGGGAGTGCATTATACAAGGTGTGTCACCAGGGGTGCACAAATCTTGGAATTCTGCCTACCACAGAAATAATATCAAGTACATGCTGAAGTGCCAAATACTATTTAATTCCCACCTGTGAGTTAAGTGGTGTTATCCAAGTTTTACTTACAAGGAAACTAAAGCTCTGCAGTGAAGCAGTGAATAGAATGGTCAGGATTCTAACCTAAATCTGTTGGCCTCCAAATCCCAGGCTGTTTCCAATTTGCCATACTGTCTCCGGTAAATCCTGCCACCTCTCCCTCCTTTCCAACTTCTCCAAACCCCCCTTTTCTGCAGTCCATGTCTTAGCTGTGTAGGCCTTCGTCACCCGTCCTGAGTACTACTGCAGCAGCCCCCTGGTTTGTTCTGAAGCATCGATCTTTGGGCTCTCCCTGCTTCTCTAACATCATCTCCTAGCCCTGTCTTTGATGAGTGCTGCCACATATTCCCTCTGCCTAGAACACACGTGCCCACTCTTCATCTGGCTAGTGCTACCCAGCTTTCAGGCCTAGATTAAATGTCACTTCCTCCAGAGTCTTTCTCTGAGGCCTAATTAGGTGAGGCCTCCTGCTACATGTTCCTATAGCACCCGGTGCTTTCCCCTTAATGCCATCACATTTTATTATTGTAACAAATATGTATCTATCTTACCTGTACAGTATGTGTCTGATTCTTGGCTAAATGTCAATGTCTGGCATATGGCAGATAATCAATAAATATTAATAAATGAGAGTCAGAGGATTTTGATAGGTTACATTTCTGTTACTTTGAATCCTTTTTAGTCCCTGCTTCTTCTTTGCCAGTGAAATACTTTTAATAACACATGTCACAAGAGCAATCTACTTTTCATGCATCTTATTCAAGATCAAATAATTAATATAAGGTAAGGTTGGGAAAAGATGGTGGGCCTTTAAACTTGAAATTGCATGTGCTTTCCACTATTTGATCCTGTTTAACTGCCTTAGAATCAGTTCTGGGCTTCAAAAGCTCATCGTCTGAACTATCACCATACCCTGCACAGGTACACAATAAATGCTGGCTGTTGTCCACATAACTGAATAGAGTCCCTTATGAGAGTAATGAGAGGAATCCCTTTCTTCAGTATATAGGTTTGGATCTAACATAATGGGTAAGAGTTGTGGTTAATGTTGTAGAGGTAGTTGTGCTTTTGTGATAGTTTTAGAGAGCCTTGTGACGCAGAGGGCATTAAACTTTTACAGCATGATAATCATGTTTGGGAAAACATTGTTAAAACTCCTTGCAAGTTTTATAATATGGCCAAATGTCAAGCCTGTGGATAAGCTGTTTTTAAAAGGTTAGTGTAAAATCTTTTAAGCTAAATTTGTAACAAACATGCCATAATTTTTATATCCAAAAAAGTGCTCCCTCATTCAAAGTGGTGACTTTGGAAGGTGTCCCCAGAAGGTTTCCATCCCTCCAAATAGTTTCAGAATCCCTTTTGGAATTAAAGTCAGTGCCATCACAGAAGCTTTTCTACTGTCATGCCTTGGCTAGTCTTGGTCTTTGAGGGTAGTTATTTTATGAAAACAACAGTAAGATCTAAGGTGAACAAAGTATATGATGAGGCTTATTTTAGAATGACACAACTCTGAAGTCATGAGACAGGACTGTGTTCTTTGTTGGTTTGTTTTTGGTCATAAAATCTGACTTTCTAGGCAATCAAAAGTTCCCAGTAGCTTTAAAGTACCAAACATTCATGTCATTATATTAACTGCAGGACCAGAGAGGACTATCATGGGAGGAGATGGAGGACTTTTAGTCAAATTTTGATACTTACAGATGAGGTTTTAAGGAAAGCAGTACTGAAACATCTCAGTTTATTACATAAAGATTATAAACGGATGATCTTTTATTTTTAAATAGTAACTTTTTCTGTAATGAAGCAATGTATTTTCTTTCTTTGGCCCACAGTGCATAGCCCAGGCTGCCTGGTGTGTAGTTGTTATAACTGGCTTAGTTGTGGGTCCCAGGTGTTTCTTTTTTTTCTCATCCTCAGAATGAGAGGTTGGGCAATTACTATCTAATACACCTTTTCAAGTAGGAAAATAAACTTTTTTTCCTCAGGGTATGAATAGTTGTAAAATCGAATGCATAGTAATATATAATCTTTTGTTTCATATGCCCCTCATTGAGCTGGCTTTAAAATCGTGTTTGATTTTTATTTCTCAAAAATCATGCACTGCTTTTGGAATTGTTATAATACAGGGAGGAATAAACATGCTTCAAGTAGTACAAAGCAATTTGTTGAAGTAAAAGAGATCATCTTACATTGACTACTAAAGAATTTTCTTCAGTTATTTACTTCTCATCTTAGGCCACAAGAACGTGAATAATAAATAATGTTAAACAAGTGATAGTAAAAGCGGGGTCAAGAAAATTGTATGATTAGAAATCAAAACCAGAGGAACAAAATGAACATACATTTTGTTGTTGCCCCAAAGTAAAGGGAAATTATGTGATTCTTATTTTCAAAGATGAGAAAAATAGACACTGCAGGAGAGGTAAAGATTTTCTTAGCAGTTAGTTCTAAAAGAAAGAAGTAACATGGGATTGTATGAAAGAAGAATAAAAGACTTTACAGATAATTATATAGCTACAGCAACCCGAAAAGATCTAAAAATAATTTAGCATGTGCTTTTTACCTTCTAAAAGTAAAACTGATGTTCATCTCTGAATAATAAGTAACGTGGATTAAAAATTAATTATCCTGTTTCAGAGAGCTAGTTAGTAATTTAGAACTCTTCCCTTGATGAAAAAGTAGAGCTGTTTTTTCTATTTTGTTACCGTAGATTCAGGGTTACTCAACTTGTCTTCTAATGAAGTCTTACCCTGTTCTTATTTTTGTGGAGCTAGCCAAAAAAGAAGAACATGTCAGCCTACCAGGTGTTCTGTAAAGAGTATCGTGTAACCATTGTGGCTGACCATCCAGGTATAGGTAAGGACATTACTGACTTTCATTTTCTTACTTTCCTTTTTCTATTTCAGAAGTGGTGCAATTAATTCAGTCAGTCAGCAGGCAGCTTCTCCCCATAGTATTAGAAGAACACAAATCTCATTTCCTCCCTCAGTTCTGCAAGTCACTTTAGATTTTTGTCTTCAGTTAACCCCATCCATAAAAGAAATAATAAGCTTTCTATTAATATCTCTTACTGATAAAATAGGAAACAGTAACAGTACCAGTTTTGAAGCACAGTACATAAGTATGCAGTTGTTTATTTCCAAGATTCTACAGCTGACCTTTTCTTTAAACTGCCCTTGGGTATGGAGTTACGGTGGGGCAACTTAGACTTACATAATATTGTTCACATTTGTCTCTATATTAGAAGTTGCCGAGGTGAGAAAAACACTACACTCAGACCTTGACAAGTCACTTCATCTCTACAAATCTCATTTGCCTAATGTGTAAAATAGCTTCCCAACCTTCTCAACAAGGTTGTTGTGAGGCATACATGAAAGTACCATAAAAGATATGAATGTGCTTTATAACACACGACCTTGCTATCCAGTGAAGAGGGCAGCATTACACACCTGGAGGATTGCTTCCAAGATGCTCTGTGTGCCCTGCAGAAATTCTTGTTTGGTTCTGAGCTCTCAGAAATTCAATAGAATTCTATCTTCTATCAAATTCTATGTAACATATTTTCTTTAACCTAAATTGATAAGCCCTGTCTCATGGGATCAAATAAAGACACCGCAGAGATGCTTAAGGACTAAATCCCTAGAGAGTAAATGTGTGAGAATTTGAGCATATCTCATCCCCACCAAAACAGCCCCCTTCCTTATAGAAAATAATCAAGAAAAGTGATGGGGTTTGGTTTTGTTTTCTGAAGGAATCTTATACTATTAAATCTGATCTTCAAAACCCTTTTTTAAGTTTTTGCTCTTAATGAATCTTCTGTTTTATTTATAGCTAAATCTTTACTGTGTTGGGTTTTTTTACTCTTTTACACCAGATTTTGGGGAACTTAGTAAAAAACTGGCTGAGGTATGGAAGCAATTGCCAGAAAAGGACAAACTGGTAAGTACTCTTTATCACGAACACATTTTTCATTGCCTCGTGCATTCCAGAATGTGTGTTTCTGCTGTAGGTCATCAGGCCAGACAACACTCAAAGTAGTGAGGAAGGGCACTGCCCCTGGTGATGCCAACCTACTTCAAGGGAGGAGTTAGGGGCAGGGAGACTGCGTTTTCTAACCTCATCTCATTTTTTTCCAACAACCTTACATTTGAGCCAAAAGATGACCTAACTTGAGCAGTGATTAAAGTATTAAAAGAGAATCTGCAGTTAGAGCCCTTTACTACAAACACTCCTAGTTGGCCATGATCTTAGGACAGGGGAAAATTATCCACTTAATAGTCAGTGCAAATAGTAAAAGCTGGACTGTGTTCACTAAGTAAGCAGGTCCCATGTCATCATCCTCATCAGCCATTACCAAATAATATTCCCTATAGCAAGAGGCTAATAAGACAGTGATGGTCATATCTGAATCATTACAGTCACTTTCCAATTGGATGATGATGAAGGTGATCTAGGAATCATAATTACCATCTTGCTCTGAGGGACAGCTTATCTGGGTGAAACCACCAAAATATTTTTCACCCAGGTAGGTTATCTTTAGTTTCTGTTTTTTGTGTCATTGTCATCCTACTATTGGTGTTGCCAACCAGCAGCTTAGAAGAAATATTTAAACCACATGGACATTATACTGAGCCAGATGTTTACTCCATGGTTTTCCATTTTGACCTTAAAGTGATCTCAGAGTCAATGCTGAGGTCTGACCGTTAGCATTCTGGAGTGTCTGTGGTCCTCTGCTAAGATACTACTGTAAACACTGTCTGAAGCCTTTTTGGGGACTGTCAGCTTAATAGTTAGCATTAGCCATCTGTCTGCCCCCTCACTGTTTCCCTTCCTTCATTTTCCTCTTCCTTGACTGCTTTCCCTTTCACTTTTTTGTTCTTTTTCATTTATTTTAATTTATTTTGCCCTGGTCTGATTGCAGATTTGGAAGCAGAAAGCTCAGTATCTGCAACACAAACAGAACAAAGCAGAAGCTACAACTGTAAAAAGAAAAGCATCCAGCTCAGAAGGTTCCGTGAAAGTAAAAGGTAGCGAGTACCTCCTGTCCTTTGAGTTCTTCTCCCTCATGCGCTGTGCGCTCTGCTTTCTTACCAGGAACTAGGGAGAGCAGCCTATAGTGGAAGCAGATCTTGACACCCAGGTATTATTACTGAAGTTACAAAAAAAATTTAGAAAAATGTAAATCAGAAGTCAGCAAACTTTTTCTGTAAAGGCCCAGAAAATAAATATTTTAGGTCCTTCGGCCATGTGCATTCTCTGACACATAATCTCTGTTTTCTACAACCAGTTTAAAAATGTAAAACCATTCTTAGCTCACAGGCCATACAAAAACCAGTCATGGGCCAGATTTGGCCCACAGTCCATAGTTTTGCAGATGATTGGTATAGCTCAGAAAAAGGGAAAATCAGGAAGAACATTTTGGGGGTGCTCAAGGCTCTAGGCAAGCTTTCTCTCTCTCTGTCATCTCTGTTCTCAGCTTCCTCTGCAGGAGTACTGTCACCCCAAAAGAAATCTCCACCCACCGCCATGCTGTTACCAGCCTCGCCAGCCAAAGCCCCTGAGACAGAACCCATTGATGTTGCTGCTCATCTGCAGCTGCTGGGGGAATCCCTAAGCCTCATTGGACACCGCCTGCAGGAGACCGAGGTGAGTACAGCTGTCAGTAGCAGGATTCCAGTTTCTGATATGATTTTAATCCATTTACTCATTCTGTATGCATTCATTTGGCAACTACTGCATGCTAGATTATGCTAGGGGCTCAGGATACAGTGATAAAGAAGGTAAGTGGTAATAGAAACATCTGGAAATTTAGAATCTGCCTACTGGCTCTCAAAGTTTATACTAATAACCATACTGTTGAAACAAGGGCACAAAAAGAAATTTTTTTCCCAGTTTTAATTTGAGATATAATTTACATATAACCCTGTAACTCATTTTTGTTTTTTGAATATTCAGTGGAAAAGTGAGCACAAATCAAATGGAAGTTCTGTTCACTTGTACTTCTAAGAGAGTTTGAATTTTTCTGCACATTTCCTGCAAGATTTTGAATAGGCAGATTAGATTGTATAGAGGATTGAGAAAGAGCTCCTCTACTTCTTTGAAAATAGGTTACAAATAAGGAAATTGAATTGCTCAAGCTTTTCATTACTTTTCACTTGAATCATATAATACTATGTGCCCTAGGGAGATCTTTGTCCTTGTAAGCTTCAATTTTAAAATCACTTAACCTGCAAAGCTATGTGTCCCATTTCTGTTACCATATTCAATTTCTAATCATTTGCCTCCTTGGCTAACTCAGTAGTGTAGTATCTTAGCTTTCCACTGGGTCTTCCTAGAACATTTCAGCAAATAAATCAGTCTAAGCTACTAAACCCATTTTTAAACTCAGAAATCAGTGTAGGAATATAAACTATTTACCTGCTTCTATGTGGAAAGTGAATTATTATTCAGCAAATAAAATGCCAGTGTCCAACAGAGATGAAGGTTATTTGAGTTCTTTGGCTAGTTTGTAAATATTTAGCAGGTGTCAAAACAACTAGACTACTTTCATAGAGGCTCAGATATTTAAATGGATATAGACATTTCCAGAATAAAATATTCTGGGATGCTCATTTATTTTTCATATTTAGTCATTCCCACATTTCCCAAAACGTAAAAAGTAAAAAGGATTTGTCATACGCACTTTCCATAGTCCAGATGTCCTCTAATATTCCCATTCAGTTTAGCAAGTAGTTGTTGAGTATCTGGGCATTATCCCATAAACTTGGGGGGTGGCAATTTTGAATAGCTTCCTGATGATTTCCTATCATCAGGAACCTTACAGTCTAATTGGAAAGAGAGAATATATACATAATTAGAAAATTAAAACAAGCCAGCTTCTGTGAGCAGTTGCTATCAGAGTTATATATTTATAGGCCAGAAAAGGGAAAGAATTTTGAAGATTCTGGAGTCCACTTTTTTTAATATATCAGTCTTGTTGAGACATAATTCACATACCATGAAGTTTACCCCTTTGAACTAGAACTTAGTCGTTTTTAATGTATTTACAGAATTACGGACCCATCACTAATTCCAGAACATTGTCATTACCCCCAAAAGAAACTCCATAGCCATTAACAGTCATTCCCCATTCCCCCTCTAGTCTGCTTTTTTCCAGACTAATCATTTGCCTATATCCTAACAATTTTACAGTTTTCATATACCACTTATACTATTATTTACCTTATATTTTTACTTAATTCTATCCATGCTTTCACAATAGTATCCTTGATATCATAAATATGGTATTCTAATTTTTCCCTAACATACATTGAAATGTATGTATATCAAAATAATTATTATTCACCTATATGCCACCTGAAATTACTACAAGCATTGTTTTACACAGTTAACTCATTTAAAGACTGAATACCAGAAACCTAATGAAATTAAGTGACTAGTACAAGTTTACACAACTGTTGGTGACAGAGCCCAGCTTGCCTCACTTCTGACCCTGTTCTCATTCTGTTCCGTGCCAGCTGAAGCACTTAGAGTAGCTGTAGGGGAGGCAGGCAGGCTCTGTGAAGGGGAGGGTGGGGGGCATTCCCGCAGACCTGAAAGGATGAGGGGGGTCTATCTCTGGAGGAGGTGGGGAGAGGCGCTCCGCACGGGGACCGCAGGGTGTACCTCTGTTTCTCAACCTCAGGCTCTTCTGCAGAAACAGGTGAAAGGAGGCCCTTGGGGGGACCCTAGGTACCTCCACTGCCACTTTAACGAGATCTTTTAGCTGTTTATATATTGAGGTTCCACATAGTTTTATTTGGAAAAGGGCTTTACTGCTAAAATGAAAAACTAGAACATCCAACATATAAGGTGGAGGAAGGCAGAAAATCAAGGCTACAGCCCGAATTACAGAGGGGCTTCGTTGGTGCTCTGAAGTGTTTACGCTTTGCTCTTCAGGAACTGGAGGGATTTTTTAAGTAGGAAGGGATGTGATCAGTGCTCTCACTTGGTTTTCTGTTTTAGGTTAGGAGTGAAGAGAGACCAGACCTGGGGAGAAGTTCTAACAATGACCTAGTCTAGATAGGACAAAGATTTGAATCCAACAAATGTTTTTCGAGAGCTTACTGTGTGCAGAACACCAGTAGTTACCAGAGGGAAATAAAAAGGAAAAAGACGTGGTTCCTGCCCTCAAGTTGCTTACAATCCATTAGAAGGGCCAGCCATAAAATATGAGCTATAATTAACCACAAGGCAAAAGTAATGAAATAATATTACTAGTTTCTGACTTTGGTAGAATGCTTATTCAACCAACTTTGGTTCAGAGTGCTATATATGGATTCTTTCATTTAAATTCACACTGTAGCTTTGTGAAGCAGAGTGTTGTTACTCATGTTTTACAGAAGGAAAAATAGAAACTTACTCTGGAGTTCAGCTCCCCGAGTGCTCAGAGAGAGACTTGAATTTAGTGGTGCAACCTCAGGGTCCATGCGCTTGACCCCTTGCTGCATGGCCTCCCTTGGAGGTAGGGAGGGGAGACCCCGAACAAGGAGGAGCAGGAGAAGGGAGAGTCAGTGATGGCCAGGCCTTTTGACTGGGCAGTGTGTGAGTTGTGGTGACTCTAGCAGAGAAAGGATGCTAAGGCGGGTGTGGGGGACGTTGGTTTTTCTTTACAGCACATTGAGATTGAGAAGTATCCAAAGTGAGACCTAGCAGGTAGCCAGACATGCAGTTTTGGGGATGAAGATATTGGTGATAAGAGTAATAATTACTAATAGTTACTGAGCACTTAACATGTACCAAGCATATCCGGGGCACTTTATATCTGGTATCACACTTAATCTCTTGCCTGCTACAGATGTTATTAGTACTCTGTCTTACGGGCAGAGCAGAGTAAGCAGCTGGCCCAGTTACAGAAGCAGTGAGTGGGGGGAGCCAGGTTCTGGACCCGGCAGTCCTGAGCTCAGAGCTCAGCCTCCAAAGGGGTCTGCTATTCTGCCTCCCTAGAGGATGTACCTTCACCGTGCTTCTCGTTAAAGCAGATTATACAAGAGCTGGGCAGCAGTATTTGCAGCAAGCAATCTTATTTCTTACCTCTTTGAATCATAGAGACACAGTCAATATGAGTTGTACAAAAATCCTAAAATGTGAAATGAACCAAATTCACTTATTTTTGAGAGTAAACAACTCAGTCCAGAAAAGTGGTATCATGATCTCCACAAATCTACCCAGCAGCTCTTCAGAGTAATAGATAGGGCATTTTTTACCATTTCTAAGTGACTAACCCAAGGTCACATAGAGGGTAAGAGGGGTTAGGAATATGGAAGGGAAACCTGGGGATGTATTGCACCAGATTTCTTTTTAAACAACTTAAAGAATTATCAGAACAGATACCTTCCATGTCTGCTGCAAGTTTCAGAACCACCCCAGACTTAAAGAGCCATGTAAGGAAATGAACCAGAACATGGAGGGAGCCTCAGGAGTGTGATTCCAGTTACCATCTCCTCCCCCAAATGCTGTCCTTTCAGGGCATGGTGGCAGTATCTGGCAGTTTGTCTGTGCTTCTGGATTCCATTATCTGTGCACTTGGCCCCTTGGCGTGTCTGACCACACAACTACCTGAATTGAATGGCTGTCCCAAACAGGTCTTGGTGAGTTTTCCTTAATTTCCTTGGATTTTTGGAGGCCAAACCTCTTGGGAGCCAGAGAGGCCCTGCCGTAAGGAGCTCTATCAGGCACTAGCTCATACGGCTTCCTGGCATATAGCTTTCCCTTCATATATTAGCCCTTGGAAAATGATGCTGTATTGTTGAATGCATACCATGCTTTCATTGAAACTAGAAAATATGCCATTTCCCAGAGTCATTCTTTGGAGAGAAGCATTCTAGACACTGAAGTACTGCAACTCCTGTGTTTCCTGTTTGCTCTTCTGCATACAAAGAAAGTACAGGAGCTTCGGTGTTTTTACTCTTTTTACTAGAATCAGTGGGAAAAATCAACAAGAAAGCTCCTAATGTAATAGGCAGCAGGATGCTGTCTCCATTCTTACAGTTTTCTCTAACTCTGGTTTTTCTTTCTGACCTCTCTGCCCTAAGCAAAAAAATATGTCTCAGAACTAAGGTAAAGTACTCCCCAACTGAACCTTTTCCCCTTGTTTTTCAGTCTAACACCCTAGATAACATTGCTTACATCATGCCTGGACTGTGACAGCAAAGAATCCTGGGACAGAATCCTACCCCACTGCTGGTTTGTGTATATAATGTGACTGTTCCAGATCCCTGTACTGGCCTCTGGGTATAGGTTTTAAATTTTTATATATATNTATATATAATGTACAATGTATACATAGGACTGTAACTACTTTGCTTTTAATAATTTTATGAAATGGCAATGATTTAGCCAAGAGGAAACCTTGGCATGAATATGGGCTTGGGATTCTTTTCTCTCCTGTGGTGGGTAAATCTGCCTTAAAAATCAATGTAACTTGGGGGCTGGAGGCTTGTTCTGGGTGCCAAATGCATCTCTTTATGGACAGCTAAAACATGATTCTTTTTCCAGGCTCAGTTGTACCTCCAGACCCATCACTGACCATTTGCCTTACCTGTCTTACAGTCTGAAATGTAATAGGGAGGATTATGGGCAGATGCCAGTTGGCTGAAGGTACAAAGCCTTTCGACTTGAAGTGACCTAGGTGGGAGGTGATAAAATCATTCCCATCTTAGAGTTATTGTGATGGCATAGGTGAGCTTAGTAGGGGGTCCATTCCAATTCTTGCTATACAGGTGTCCATGTCTCAAAATTTATTGTAATAATTGGTAGCCATTAGCAGCCACAGTAGGGGGCCAAGGACTAATGTGAGCCCTGACAGCACTGAACATCTTGGAGTGGGTAAAGCAGTTAATGCCACCAGTTGAACTGCATATGTTGTGAGCTGATCCAGAATGTTTGGTCTGCAGAGCTAATTGCTGGTATCTTCCGTTGGCAACATTAGCTCAGCCACTGAGTCCTCACAGGGTTTGCTATTTAGTTGCTTGGTGGTTGAGTAAGATGATGAGCTTTGCCCTGCGTGATTCTTGAGTTTATCTAGTTGGCTCTCCTGGTGGGCACATGCACAGCATTCTGCATTCCACACATAAATGAATTTTAAAAAAAGTACTTGATTCTCATGTAGGTTTATTTATGTGCACGTGTGAATGTGTGTTTTAATTATGTATATTTAACTCTTCAAAATCTCTTTGATTTTAATTTATCCTGTAAATTTCTGTATATATAATTTAATAACAAAAGCCTCCACCAGCAACAGCATGTGGAAGATAGAGATTTGTCATTTCCTCCATCCTCTGGTCTCCTCTGAAAACTACAAATCATCTGCATATTAAGGTATCATGCCTCAAGAAGGAATCATTATGTTGGGATTTTAATTCTTTAAAATTCAATAATGTCAAAAAAGTAAAATAAAAAGGAATGTTACTATTCCCAGCTGCCCTTATTTCCAAAACCAGACTTTCTCTTCCCAGTTCCAGTGAAGACAGTTGAACACTTGAGGGTTGGTTTTAAACTTGGTGTGAGATTCCTGACAAAACCGAGCTCTAAGGTAACTGCTATCTTGCCCTGGCCTAGAAGAAGCGCTGCAGCATCAGGGACACCTCTGAGGACAGTGCAGCCAGCCCGCTTCCTGTTTGAGGCCTGCCTTCTCCCCACCGGTGTGTTCGCAGGGCTTTGTTCCTTAAAGGTATTCTGGCTGCTGAATGCCCTTCTCAGTCCAGAGCAGTTTTGGGATTTAGCTGGGGAAACAGAAGGAGACAGGAATATTTGGGAACCAAAGTCAAGATGAACAGAAAGCGTGTTTTGATTTCATGTGTTAGAACCTATACTGTGCCTCATCGCTACCCATGCAAGTTTCCTGTTTGACACAGGTTATCGAGTAGGGGCCTTGACGACATGGATTGGTACAGAAAGAAGTCAGTCCTACCATTGTCATTGTACACATTAATGTAATCCTGATGAGGACCTGCTTTTTTGTTTGTTTTCCTTTAAAATCCAACCCTATTGTCTTTGTATTTAAAATTTGTACACATTTGTATAATAATCTGTACCTTGTGGTATTTGGTACTATTAGAGGAAAAACTTTGGATTCAGACCTTCTTGCAGTTTTTATATCATTGTTTTATTTTGTTTTTTAAATAAATTCTAGCAGTTTGATCCAAATCCCATTACAGTTGTATAAAGAAATAAAATTTTGTACTTCTATTATTAAAAATCACATTTTTAATATTTGTAGTCCAGTCTCAGCCATCTTTTCCCTGCTGCTAACCAAAGTTGCTACAAAACTATAAAACTTATCCACGTTCACATTATATCCTACCATAATTCTCTTAAAAAGAAAAATTTGTCAGGAATAAAGGTTAAATTTCTGACCTTAGCCATTTGCCTAACACATATCTTGCTCTGTTTCTATATATTTAACTTTTACATAGTGAAGTCTCTCATGTTCTCTCTTTTGTAAATTGCAAACCCAATAGCCCTGATAAGCATAATATTATACAGAATAGTGCCTCTATTCACTGGCACATGAAATTGTATGTACATTATGGTGTTGGCCTAACTCAAGAAAATACCTTTCCATCTTGTATAAGGGTCACATCTAAATCACGTGCTTAAGTATATTTAACGCTGTTCTGGCACTGTCCTGACTCAGTGAGTGATGTTGGTAAGTCAGTTAATCTTTATAAGCATCCGAAGTCCCATCTGTAAAAGAGTGTTAATGCTACTTCCCTACTTCCAGACCTGCAGCCAGCCAGCTTGACATGAATGTTAAATAATATTCTGAACATTTAGTATATGGAGATTTGACCTCTAGGTAAAAATTTCAATACAAACACAAAGTGTTAATAGTCCTAAATAGTGAAATATAATGATTGATTGAAAGGCCAACTTCTTATGGAAAGGCTACAAGGAAGAGACCTTCATATTGCTGAGTGACTATTATGGAGTGATTGCATATTTTACCTCTCTTAATCCTCCAAAAGCTTTATGAGTATTACCCCCCTTTACAAGTGAGACAGATGCAGGAAAGTATTTTTCCTAAGGTTATACATTAGTAAATGGCAAAGCCAGAATAAGCACACTGGTATGGCTGACACCAACACCTAGATTCTCTTTCTTCCCCAAGCCACTTGCAAAGTTAAATCGTGTATGTAGTTCATCATAATCCTTCCCCATTATCTACAGTCTTGAGCAAATGTGATTGTAGGAAAATCATCCAAGACCTTTTCATTATTCAAATGTCCTTTTGTCCTTGCTGGCTTTTACTATACAGGCCTCACTTTCTTGTCATGCTATTGTCTTTAAACTTTGGGGGCAAAGTATCTTGACTTTTGTCTAAAAGTACTGATATAATAGATCATAGTACACTTATATGTCAGTCTTAAGGGGCTTATTTGCTTAAGCATTTGATACTAATATTGCTAAAACCCTTAAAAGGGAAAACTAAAACAAGACCTTTTACTAAATAAGTTTGTTCCTTATTAGCAGATACTTTTAAAACATAATCAGCGTTGTACTACACTTAATGTTTTCCATTTACATCCTATCGTGTTGACAAAAGCCACATACTTCCATTTCTTATTTAATAGCTATATGGTATTCTGATTGCATTAAGTTAATACAATTCCACTCTCTGTCTTATTTAATAGCTATATGGTATTCTGATTGCATTAAGTTAATACAATTCCACTCTCTGGGAGTATGTGGGTTGTTTCTGCTTTTTTACCATGAAGGATAAAACTTACGGCTGTTCCATTCTTGGCAGTAAAGTCAAGATCTGCCCATGATCACTTTAAACCCATGCAAGAAGGCGAGACCTTATGGTAAATCACCACCCAACATGAGGATGTTAAAGGCTCTTCTGGAAGAATCCAGAAGAAGTTCATGCTAAATATCCTTCATACAATCAAGTAATATGCTTAAATGTAGAAAAACATGAAAGGTACCTGATATAAAGGCCATCTTAAACGTACAGCCTGCTTTACAGTCCAAAAGCCATTATTGAAAAGTAGATTGATTTTAACTTTAATGTTAGTCATTGTGGTAGATTACAGTGGTGAACACAATAGACGTAGTATCTAAGCCCTCACGGAGCATCTAGACTAGTGGGGAGAAGGGCATTTATTAACAGGTCTCCTGAGCATTACTAAAATTTATAGCACAGGAGTATATTACTTCCATAAAGTTTTTATATTATACAGTAAAGATATCAGCCCCTGTGGCTGCTCAAACAGGTTAATGTACGGAAATGGTTAAGTTCTAACAGGCTTTCCATCATCCTAGTGTGCAATTTACTAGCCTTTCAAATTTAAAAATCACAAAACATAATAAATACTAAAGCACACTTCACTAGCTTTAACTACCAAAACGGTGGTTTTTGTATCTTGGAGTGCGTGTCATTAGAAGAAAAAAGATAAAATCAACACATCACAAACCTTAATGTGTAGGCAAGTACCTGAAACATGTTACACAATCAGGAAGGTTGAAACTACTTAAAATAACAAAGCTGTGAAAGGCCTTTGAGAGTCTTAATTTTTAACTTGGAGTTTACGGCTATACTTCGGAGACCTAAGAAACTCTCAGAAGTCAAACTATTTATGCCTTTTTTAAGAAAGACACGTGGCTTAAAATCCTCAAGCCTGCGACCTAAAAAAAAAAAAAAATTGAGTCGATCTAATTCCAGCATCCAGAGAAACTGTAAACTGTACTGTTTGAATAATCCAGTATTAATGGCTCCACTCGGGTCTACATTTGTGGGCTTTCTGCCACCCTGGGCTCTCGCCACTCCCCAGCTGTAACTCATGGAGTTCGTTCAGTGTCAAAAGATCACAAGCCCCTGGCCTCCAGTTTGAGGTAGACCTATCTGAGCTGCAAGCAGAGTACATCCTGCAACAGGGAAGCCTCCCTATCAGATGGGAAGAGTACTATCATGGCAGGGAGGGGTGGTGGGGAGTAGGCAAAGTGAGGCCCCAAGGGCTGACACTAGGAATGAGAGCTGTGGTCTGGGCTTGCTCCCCAATCTTACCCAAATCACTTCCCTGCTCTGAGACCTGGCTTAGCAAATTATACGAGGAGCTCGCTGGACCATGCCCCCAACACTTTTTTAAACGTGTCGAGGGCGTGGCTTACACCGCCCACCCTCCTAACCCAGGTCTGCGACCCGCTTGCGTCAGCGTGACGTCCGCCGACGCCAAGTAAGCTGAGGTGAGGTCATCGCCCGCCGCCGGGGCGTCCGGCCCTCTACGTCAGGGGCGGGGTCTGTGGCCGCACTCCACACTCGCTCCGCCCCGCCCCCACTGGCGCCTCCTCGCGGACCGTCCGGCGCGTCACGTGACGGGTCGGAGGCGCTGGCGGTTGCTGTCAGCTGATTCCTCGGGTTGGTGGCTGGGACAGCGGCAGCAATGGACTTTCTCCTGGGGAACCCGTTCAGCTCTCCAGTGGGACAGCGCATCGGTGAGTCCCCTGAGCCCTGCCTCTAGGTCCCGAGTCACCCACCGGAGGGAAGCAGGGGGGGGAACGAGCCTGGCTTGTGCCTCCCGGACCTGTCCCCGCCCACTACCCCCGCCTACCTTGACTGACAAAGCTGTGGCCCATTAGGAAGCCTCGGCTTGTGATGGATTCTCCCTGGAGCCAATAGGTAGAGAGAGAGGGCAGGTCTGGGCAGCTGCGCCTCAGCCAATGTGCCACTGCTGGGGTCCCAAATGCTGGAAGAAAGTTTCGGGGATTTAAGAGACTGCGTAGCTTTGCCGATCAGGGGCCGGTGGACTGCTCCCCTCGTCGCTCCCTCAGCCCTGGTCGCGCCACCTGGGCTCCGGCCATCTTCCTGGCTTGCCGGGCTGTCCGGACCAGGAGACCAGGGCTTGGCGTCTGGGCGGGCGACGAGCGGGCGGAGGCCGGGCAGCACTGCGTCCCCCGCGCCCGGGCTGGACTCTGGGAACCCGCCCAGCGAGGCGGCAGCGCGGCCTGAAAGACCAAGGTCTCTGAACGTGCCTGCCTACGCAGCCCTCACCAACCAGCAAGAGATCGGCTGCATGGAGTCACAGACCCTCTGAGCTGGGAACGATTTTAGAAACCCCCTGACGCGGCCTCCGTCATCTCTCAATGGGTGGGACAGCTCCGCACTCGGGCCTGAGACATAGGCTTACTCAGAGCCCGGGTCCCCTGGCCCTCCTGCACCCTGCTAACAAGAGACTTACTAGTTCTGCGACGTTGCTTCTCTGTACCCAGGTTTTCTCACCTGTAATTAGGGTATAGTAATGGTTCCTACCTCGGCGCGGTTGTCCTGAAAGTTAAACGCTAATAAGTGTAAACTACTTAGAACACTGCCTGGCACGTGGCCAGTGCTATATAAAGGAAAGTGGTAATATTTATCATTGTTACTGAAATAACACTAAGTGAGGGTCGGGAATCCCTGAAAATAGCTGGGCAGTGAGTTCCATAGATACTCCAGCACAGCAAAGCTGGAGGATCCACTGGCCCGTGGCCCTAAGAGCTAATTCCTCTCCTGGGACAGTCTGGGGTGCCTCCTCCTTGAAGAAAGAAACCTTGGGAAATACAGTGAAATTCTCTCTTCTTCTTCTTGATGGTTTTCAGCCTTAAAGCCAGACTGGGAAAATTGGATCTCTTAGACAAGGCATTCTTTCCTTCCTTACTATCTTGGACGACAAACCTCACTTAAAGTCTCATCCCAGCTCTGTGTTGTAATCATGCAGTTTGTGGCTTCTCTGAGGTTTTGTAATCAAATCTGCTGGAGAGGGGTGGTAGTCAAGGATTGACACAAGGGCTTCTGGACCAGAGAGGGGAATCACACTCACACACACACACACACACACATCAGTGAGCCATAATTTTGGAGTTGAAAAGAGAAGTCAGCTCTCGTCTCATCTTTCTTTCTCCATCTACAGATAATACCAATTACATCACAGACCAGACTTGAGACTTCATACATTAAAAAAAATCTTCAGAGTCAGTGCCACATTTTCCTGAAGCTTTTCTAGAAAAACTCATCCGGGCTTTGGCCTTTGGCTGATCAAAAGAAAATAGCTTTTCTTCTGACCCTGAAGAGTTGCCTATCTTGGGCAAGAAATGCTCTGTCCAAAGAGAATACTATTAAACCATAGCTGCTTGTATTTCTGTAAACTGCAGGAGAATAATCTCTTCTCAAGCCTACCAACTCCATCCATGTGTTGACAGCAGAGCCCTGTAGAGTTGGCAGCCTCAGCACAGTGGGTCCTGATGGTGCTAATCAGGGATGAGTGTCACTTAGTCACAGAGTTCTCGCCCACCCGCACACACCCTTTTGTGCCTGCTGCTCTGTCTGTCTGCTCCTGTGCGTGTCCTACAAAGCCGCAGGCAGTGTCACCTCCCTGACCCATGTGCTTTTGTGCTCTCCTGTGACCCTAGCTCCTCAGACCTCCTCACGGTCTGCCTGTGGGGCTCTGATTCTCTACTTCCTCCTGGATAGAACGGTGGCTGTAACAGCATTCACCCCTCAGGGTGGTGGCAATAGTGAAGTGAGGTCCTCCCTGGAGAGTGCTTGGTACATTTTGAGTGCAGGAAACATTAGCTCTTGCTGTCCTCATCTTCCTTTTTATTATTTCCACCATCGTCACACTACCAGAGCACTGTCCCATTCTATACGCAGTTGTACATGTGGGTCTCCTCAGCTAGACTGGACTTCTTAAGAGCAGGGACTGTCCCTTATTTATCAGGACCCTCGGCCCTTAGCATTGTCCATGGCACACAATAAGGATGGAAGAAAGGAGAAAAGGAAAGTAACATTTTGTGAGCAAATACCATGTGCCACGTGCCACGCTAGTGTCCTAGTCACTAATATTCATGATGGGATTTTGCTGTTTTTTCCAGTTTTACCAAAAGTAGTTCTGTGGGAAGCGTCACCTCCCAAGGCTTCACAGCTAACCAGGATAGGAACCCAGGCCCAGGTTTCTCCAGCTTCGAGCCCAGGTCCTCCTGCATCCTCACCACACTGCCTTGGCCGATTCAAATCCAGTTACTGTTCTATGCACAGATGAGCTTTCCTGCTGATGGGGCACACATGGTCAGTGCACATTTCCAGGTCCCAAGCCCTTATCTTCTAGTAGGCAAGCTTCCCAGGGCAGCAGCCTGTGGCTGAAAGGATCCCAGATAATTAGTATGAGATGCTGTTGACACAGCCCTCTTCTTCCGAGGACTTCAAAACCCTTTCGAGTATCCTCTGAAGACAGATCTCACTGGCTATGTTTTATAGCCACCCAGGAATCCCATTTCCCATCTCTGGCTGTCAGCTTACCCCTGGTACTTTGAACAGGAGACCCAGCTGACTCATGCAAGCAGCCTGCAAACCACAGACACTATAAACTCGGGCAGTCCCTAGGGACCGGCACCCCAGGAGCTGGGTGGGGGTGGCAGTAGCTGGCTATGAAGGGAGAAGAGCTCAGGGCCTAAGACTGAGCCCGGGGGTGGATGGGAGAGGGGGAAATGAGGGGGAGCCACCTTTGGATCTCCCAAAGCCAAGCCAGGGATGTGCAGGAGGGAGTCCTGGATGGGAGACCACAGGCAGTAGCAGGAGAGGACACCTCGGACCCTCTAGGTGGTGTGTGGTTAGGGGAATGACGAGCTGGAAGTCAAACTGGACACTCAGCTGATGTTGCCAAGCAGACTGCAGGCTGGCCGAGAGGAGACCTGGGTCCAGCTGTGGTTCTTTTCCTAACTGTCACAATTCCTCCCCATTGCCCATCCCCTTACCTATAATGTAGGGATGCTATATTCTCCCTTTATTTCCCAGAGTGCTGACGAGGAGCAACTGAGGGACAGATGAAGGCAGGGGAAGGATTGACCTGGGGGAAGAGGGAAACTGATGGCTCCTGGGGAGGAATGATAGGAACACCCCCACCAGGCTCAGAGGCAGAGTGCAGAGCTATAAAGGGCGTGCAGCACCAGCATAGATAATATGTCAGTAAAGGGGTGTGGCTGTTCCAATCAGACAGTAGTAATGGATGCTAAAATTTGAATTTCATGTAATTTTCACATGTCATGACATACTACTCTTCTTTGGGTTTGTTTTCAACCATTTAAAAATATGGAGACCACTTTTAGTTTGTGGCCCATCCAAAAGCAGACTGAATTTGGCACGTGGGTTTGTAGTTTACTGATGCCCAGGTCAAACCAGCGGCCAGAAGTAAGAGTGACGGAGGACAGTGTTCTTCATAGTGGGGTCCCAGAGCGCCCATGTCAGAGATGCTTGAGGATGCTCCAGCCTGGGCCCCCAGAGTCAGAGCCGCCCCCACCTCCTGCCTGTAGAGCAGTAATGCTTCAGCGCCCCAGTTCCCTGATCTGTAATTGCTGGAGCCAAGTTAAGAGCCCAAAAGCCTCTGCCTGGAGGATAGCGGGGAACAATGTCTGGAAAGGGCTCTGTGACAGCTGGCCGCCCAGTACCTGCAGCACAGCATCTGGGATGAGCTCTAGAGTCACACCAAAGACCTTGAGTCCTGGTTCAGCCTTCACCGGCTTTGTTACCTGGGGCAAGTGACTTACCCTCTGTGTTCTTCAGTTTTCTATCAGTTAAATAAGGGTAATAATAGCACAGGTCAGTTGGGGTCGCTGAGTTGCTGGGTTGCTGGGTTGGGAGTCTGTTGTGTTGTCATGTTGTCATGGTGAAGCACTTGGCCCGCTGCTTGCCAGAAGGTGAGTGCCTGTGATTATTCGCTGGCTCAGGTTTTTCATTGGTGTTATCACTGCTGGAGCAGAGTTAGTGAGAGAGCCAGGGCCAGCCCAGGGCCCTGGCTCCAGGGCAGCCTCTGTGCAGGTCCTGGTGGCCCTGGGGAAAGAGCAGTCACTGGCTGGGTGGCAGCCCCATTCACAGACAGGTCAGGTTTCAGGCTGTGGGGTGGAGCCGATTCTCCCTGGGAAATAAAGCCTTTGCCCAACCCTAGGGATAGAGCTAGTGAATAGGTTTTGTTCCCTCACTGAGCTCAAAGAAATAAGAATAAAGTACCGGATTTCCGCACTTCTGGTTTTAGAAAAAAAAACAAACCCTTCAGTGTCTGCTAATTAGTTCAGGGCCATCACCCCAGGAGAAGCTGGGGGATTCAGGACAAGTTAACTCTTTACCTCCTAGCAAGGAGAGCTTTGTCTAGGCCAGCGCTCTGCAGGCTCCTGCCCTTGGGCACCAACCCTGTGATTGGTGTCAGCCCCTGTGCCACCTTTAGTCTTCCTTCCATAGTGGTTTCCTTTTCTTGGCTCACCACTTTTAATATCACCTCATCCTATGTAATTATACTCATGAAATCACAGGAGCTAGTTCACATTGTTTTTCTGTTCTACACTAAAGTAAATAAGCAACTCTAAAAGTGCTTTGTTTGCCCGTGAGCCCACCTAACCTGATACTGGGTGGCACATTTTGGTCACTCAGATGGAAGCAGTCCAAATAGGGTCAGAGCTTGGACCCTGGATCA